ATCTCAGGACAACATGAGAGTAGGCCGGCCCAAACACAAGGCACTCTTTACTCTGCGAAAATGCTTGGAGGTCCCTGACCCTCTTAATGGAAGTGGAACGGCGTCTTTAAAAAGATGCAAACCGACCGTGATTTGCTTTTTTAGGAAATCTGCTCTTTTAGTTGTAGTGCCCAGGGGAATCGCTAGGGACACTGCTGTTCGCACCATGACGCCAACCAGAACAGCTTCCAGACAGATCGATGAATGGCTTTGTGGAGATCAAACACGTTCCTCCACTCGGCTCCGAAGCAAAAATCTGAACGAGTGGATGCACCTGTCGCCTATTTATACCCGTATGCATGGGGAGTGGCTCAGGTATTCAAAATCCACTAACCAAATTTCATTGCCAATGTATAAGCATGCTCTATTCTAAGACCTAGCAATTTATTTTTCCAAGAAAGAAATAAAGAAAGAATTGAATTGAATTTAAAAGCACCTACCTTGTATACATAAAACCTAATTTATCCCCCAAACATCTATAAACACTTCTACACACTTTGCCAACGTATAAGCATGCTCTATTCTAAGACCTAGCAAGTTATTTTCCAGAAAGAAAGAAAGAAAGAAAGAAAGAAAGTAAGTGTTACGACCTCCTCAGTCTAGGGGTTAGGAGGAAGGACAGAATTATAATAAACCTTAATTCAAACTAAGCAAGCAACATTGTTGAGCCCCTGCCCACTGTCCCAGATTAATTCAAACAGATCACAACTTGATGGACCCAAAAAGATTAAAGGTTTATTACAAAAAAAAAAAAATGCTCCAAGCTCCAGCAGCTCCAAGATCAACTAGGGTCGTAATCTCCTTGGTAATTTCGCAACAACAAAATACCTCAAACGGTACATGGAAATCAAGGAGAATTAATAAACAGTCTTGGAACAGTAGTTATGGACTCAACAAGAGAGTTGTCGAGTTTTTCACAGCGTAGTGTCTCTGCTGCTCTGCAGAATTGGACAGCTTATATCTCCAATCACAAGATCGCAAGGGCGAATCAGCAGATGAACATTCTCATAGGTGCAGATTATCAACAGGTGGCACTCATTACGCATCCTAAGAGAGCAGGAACACAATAGAAAAAAAAACAGGCAAGCGCACATTGAGCACAACAATACGCAAGTCATAACAGAAAGAAAGAAAGAAAGAAAGAAAGAAATGTTTTCTTAGAAATTACTAGTAAATTTCATAATTAATTGCGAGTAACAATCGAATAAAGGAAGGATAAAGGAACTGCAAGTAACACATCAAATTAAAAGTGAAATTTTGAAGTAGAAAAACTTTATTATTATCATTATTTTTTATTATTTTTTTATATAGTTTATTTGTTTAGTATATGGGTATAGTAGCCATTTCATTTATGAAATTACCATGGTACTATACCTTTTTTGGGGCAATGTTACATGGACTACATAGTTTAGTAAAGCAACTCAAATGACACTGTTTATATTGATTAATTGATTGATTGCTTGCTTGATTGATTGATTTTCCCAGATGGATGATAAAATCCTTGGAGGTGGGCTATTTTATCATTGTCGAATATGCAATATGCATATCATTGTTGGTGGTTTTTGTACTATTCACTTCTTCAATCTATTTACATTTTTCAGTTATATAAATTTTGAATGTCGCAAGGACTTCAGTGATAATTTGGAATAAAGCATCTGTTGTGTTGTTTTAATAGTCCTCTAGCCTCTAGTTTTGTTCATGAAGGACGTTTGATCCCTTTCAGACAGCTTTGATTCCCAGTGGCTATCATGGACAATAGACATTTACGTATACACACACATTTTAACACACCGTTGTGTTTACTTGGGATCAGACAGCACTGTGTGTGTCAACAGTGGTTTGCAGGGAGTGAGTACAGTGCCATCTTGCAGTGGATTTTTCTGATGGCATTAGGCAGCGTATTGAGTGGCATGGCAGAGAGAGGTTAATTATGTTTTCGTGTGTGTGTGTTGAAGTGGCGGATGTAAAATTATTGCATTCTGTTAAGCTCTTTAAACAGATAACCACTGCGTCTATCTACCTTGGGGAGCTTGTAAGATGATCTGGCGCAGTTAGCCTAACTTATCCTGCTGGGTTTGCGCAGCTATTTAGCAGTGTCTAATTTCAACAGCTTTTAATATCACACACTTCTGTTTGTCTTTACTAATTAAAATAATACATCCACATTAACCTAATCGCTTAGAGGAAGTGATGTAATAGAGCACAGGCAGTATTACCCGTGAGGTTTCACAGTTTCATAGTTTTGTTGCCAGCAGGCAGCAGTCAGCAGTCAATGAAGACAAGATCTAAACGTGCTTATAGTTTTGTTTTTTTTGTTTTTTTGTTTTTCCTGGAAAGAAAAGAGAGGAAAGTGTATAATACAGAATACTGCAAAAATCAAAATTTCTGTTTAGATATGAGTTAAAAAATGAAATTTCCAGATCACACAGGACTATTTAAAATAGAGGGCACAAAGGTGATGCAAAAATAAATAAATATATAATATTAATATATCAATCATTTGTAATGTATAATATAAAAAAAAATATTGATTAACAATGCTTTTTCTTTTTTTGTAGATATAAGCCTATAGCATAGTTTTGTATGTGTAGAAGAGATAGGGAGGGAGAGAAAGGCAAGTCTTCCTGTCTAGTGACTGCTTTTGAAGTTGTTAATTAAACCTGCAACCATCTGGTTCCTCGATGATCTACAAGGGGAAATCTCAGCAATGAGTGAGATAAGTGGACCGACTGCATGAATAAATAAACAAACGGACGAATAAATAAGTGAAGTGGATGGATACCCAGTCTTAGTTCTTTTGTTTTTGTGAAGGAGAAACATGAAACCTCATTAGTGCAATTTCCATCTTCTGTCTTACCTTGGAGATATTTATTCCTTGTGTGCTTGTGTGTGTGTGCAGCTCTGCATTTAAAAAATGCCTTTGATAAAAACAAATATATATATTATTAAGAGGTGTTATTATAACAGGATAGAGTCGTATATGTGCTTAATACTACCTTATAGTGTCAATTAAATCTACATATTTGCATTACACACTGAGTGTCATTTTGTGATATATGTATTATTTATAGCCTCACATATTAGATTCTTAATATATGTAGTCTTTTTTGCTTCTGTATTAATAGTATTTTTATTTACTTCACTTTTATTGCCATGTTGCGCAGGCAGAGTGAATAAATAAGATTTAACCCACATGAATGTTCATGAGTGAGGTTCCACTCATGCATTTTTCATTTTATTAAATACCCACACAGTGTGTTCATGAAGTGTAATCAGGACAGGGATTATGAAAACCTTCAGAATGATCATATTAATGCTGACACCGAAATCCCTGGAAAACGCAAAAGTGGAAGAAATGAATGTTGAGTGCCGATGACAGACTGCTGTGTGATTGTGTCATCTTTTTGTCTTTTATTTTCTGTGCGATAAGATTAATTTTTACTGTAATATTTTTTATGAGGTGCCTAACATTATACTACAATAAATGTGAAGAACAATGAATATCTTATTAAATATTTGTGGTTGCTGGTGATGTGGACTGTGAAGTACCCCAAATCTGCTGCTTCGGTCTCTCTGCAATAATTCCTTGGCCCCTTGTCATTCCCTATAGTTACATTATCTAAATAAAATAATTTACTAAGATATGACCAGTAATTGACCCAATATGCCAGCCAGGCCAAAATTATAGATATTTAGAGATTATACAGTATGTGGTAAATGGCTCATAACCGTGCACAGTTAAAGCACTTACTGGACAAATTCTTTCATTTGTGGAACATAAAAGATGTTGAATAATATTCTTTTAAATTTGTTCGTTCGTTCGTTTATTTGTTTGTCAAACAGATTTGGAATAAAATGAAGGTCATTCATTCTTGGGTCATTCTATATATATTCATTCTTGGGTCATTATATATATATATATATTGGAAGTAATGGTTTGCCTCATTACTTGGCAACATTAAATAGACTGATGATTATTATTTAGGTTTTGTTTTATTTCAGTTTTATTTATTTATTTTTTTATATTGTTACGAATGGATTTGTGTGTTGCTAGGGAAACGGCATATCATTTGTTCGTGTGCGCGTGCATAGGTCTTTCCCTGTGTTTTTCTTTGTCTTTCCCTCTTTCATTCTAATTGATTACTGGTGGAGCTGATTAGGAGGACTTAGCTGGTTGGTGCCATCCGGTGGAAGGAATCGTTGGCTCCCTGCTCTCCTGGTGTCTTCGTTGTTAACACTGTTGTTCCCGTTGTGTAACGTGTGTTGGAGAAAGGATCGCTAACTTAGACATTTGTTGTCAACCATTGAATTAAGTAACAGTTTAGTTGTACCTTATGCCTGCTACGTTCGATCGCTTACTTCCTGGACCTTGTTTAAGTGGAGCTTGGTAGGGAGGGGGGTGCCTGTTTGTTTTGTTCGTTTTCTCCTGTTTATGTTAGCAGGTAGGTAAGAACTTGTATTTTATTTGTTATCTGATTTCTAGGTTAGTTTGTGTACAGTAGTAGTTTTGTTTATTGTAATTGATTTTGGCAAATTGCCCCTCCCGAAGTTTATGATGCTCTTTTGTTTATCCTTATTTAATAAACTTACTTTTATTTGCACCTAAATAAGTGTTTTGTGGTTGAGAAACTTTGAGAGTGAGAGCGGGGACCCCAGGGATCTTTCCTAGATGGATCCCTGTTAATTGTCATGGACCAATTTATTTCTCTTTGAGTAGGGATTTAACATCCATCCGTGTCAAATGGGGGCTCGTCTGCTTGTTTTTTTTCCCCCCTTCTCTGTTATGTCAATTTGTTTGATTTAACAAGTGGAAGTTTGTCCGCCTAGTTGACTGTTTTCTCGTTTATTATCTAGTTTCGTTTTTTTTATTAACGAATGTCTAAAATGTACCATTATTGGTCTTTTTTCAGTGGGTAACAATTGTTCTTATTAATCAATTAAATTCAATTAAATTCAAGTTTATTTGTATAGCGCTTTTCACGATACAAATCGTTGCAAAGCAACTTTACAGCAAATTAAGTTTCTACAATATTTAGTGGTAGCTTATCAGTGGTGACTGTCAGTTAATGTACATATGGCAGAAATGTACGGAAAAATCAATTAAAGACGTAATCAAACAGACAATGAACACTATTAACAGCAATTATTAAATGATGCAATCAAACTTATAGCAAAATATGGTAGTTCTGTATGTTGTTTCAGGGTTGGCATCATCTGAGGTCCTCTGAGGGGTTGGCATCATCTCTTCTCAGGTGTTCTGGATCCAGACTGAAGCATGTGTAAATCCTAGTTACCACGGGAACACAACTTTTTCTAAAATTTTAGACATAAAAGGAAGATTTGAGATGGGTCTGTAATTTTCCAGTTCACTAGGATCTAGTTGTGGTTTCTTAATAAGAGGCTTAACGGTAACACTTTATTTTGATGGTCCCTTTTGAACATTCTGTTGACGATAAGTAACATTACACCTACATGTCAACTAACTCTCATTTGAGTATTAGTAGACTGTGTGCTTAATATCTGCTAACTCTTTATTGTGATGGTCTCCCAACAGACATTCTACTGACTACAAGTAAGTTTGCAAGTACATGTCAACTTAATCTAACCCTAACCCTACCAGTCTACTAATACTCTACAAACACTCTAGTGAGACTTAGTAGATATGTAGGTGCAACGTTACTTATAGTCAACAGAATGTGTTAAAGGGACAAACAAAATAAAGTGAAACCAAATATTCTTTACATACTGGCCTTGTATAGCTTACATATTCATGTATTTCATTAGACAAAAGCATATGGATGGCATTTTGTGTAAGAACTTTAATATGAGGGCAGCCTGTTCTCATTTCACAGTCATTTCACAATACATTATTATGCATAAAAAAATTATGTAGTGGAAAACTGGCAAACACAGATGAGAAATTGTTCATAGAGTGAGGTGTACAAATGATCAAGAGCTGATGAGTGTGTTAAGCTTAATGTGTAATAAATAATGTATTTGTATTACATTTAACCCTAAAATCAATTGTAACGTCTATGAAACCAACTTACTAAAGATCACATTTTTTTTTTACTGGGAACAAAGCAAAGCAAAGCAGATAAGTTATAGGGCATATGCTTGAGTATAAGCTACATACTGACGAGGAAAAAAATAAAAGAAAGAAAAAATTAAATGTAATCGTGAACAAATATTAATAAAAATATTTAACCAAATGCTTTTGTAGAGTGAATATATTTATATATGTATTTGTATGGTACAAAACAGTGTTACACTTTAATTAATTTGCACTTAATATAATTTGCAATTACATGTCAGCTTTCATTAGAGTAGCTTTTTCACTAGCTTTCATTAGAGTATTAGTATACTGTTAGATTAGGTTAGGGTTAGTAGAATAAGTTGACATGTACTTGTACTTGATGTACAGTCAGTAGAATATGTGTTGGGGGACCATCAAAATAAAGTGTTAGAAGATTAAGCAGACATTTTACTAATACTCTAATGAAAGTTAGTTGATATGTTGAATGTCTAAAGTGGACTATCAAAATAAAGTTTAACCCAAAACAGTTATACATATTCATTATTCATTAAGGGAACAAAACAAGTGTCTACTCTCTTTATGGTTTTATTAGTGAGTCATTGAAACATTCACTAATTCATTCATGAACGCCCAGCAATTGCTTTGTTTGGAACTATTTTCTTTGGTGGAGCTAAAATACACAAACTAACTGACAATATGTGTCCAAAAATGTATGTAACTCGATATTAACTTACTGCTTATTATATATGTAGGCCTATCAAAGCTATATCATCATGATATTGTTATCTTGTTATATGTTTCACAGGGATGTGAGAAGTTGCACGCAATGAAATTTGTCAAACAATGACCATAAAGTTCCCATCACACACAACTCGCACCTATAAACACAATTAGATTGGTTACACACAGAGAAACAAACAACACAAAGGCCCAATTTTACCATAGAACTGCTGCTGTGGCAGAACTTCCACCTTGTCTATTTATAGCAGTCATTTTATGTGCAGTAAGCACACAATTGAGGCTTAGTGGGCAATCAAGTAACCATAATAATATGTGTTTGTTTACAGAATGGGGCTGAGGAATGAGGAGCCACACAGGAGACACTATAAACCATGTGAAACAGGGTGCTTTGGAAAACACGACAACCTCGCACTTCACAGCGCCAGTGCGGTACTAAATAGCCTTGACAGCATAATGGACATATGTGTGTGAATAGATATTTTTAAATCCACAGTGTTCACTAAATGTTACTTAGCCAAGTTTGTCTTTAGAAGTAAGGGTTGCATAGCTGGAATATTAAGTCTGTGAATGTTTGAGACATTGTGTAATATATTAAGTCTACTGGTGGACAAATATGCTCCTAATTCTACCAAAGTTATTCTCATTTGGTTCTCTTTAACCCTGCCTAAGATTCTTAAAAAGTAGCACATTATGCATTAAAGAGTTTAGACTTTTAATTCAACATGAGCTGGTATTTGCAACCCATTTTACTTCTGTAATCTATATTTCTATGTGAAACTATTTTCAATGAGAAAAAATGTAGGGCAAGACTAGATTTGTATTCCCTGAGAATTGTTTTAATCGTTAAAAGTGGGCTTTGTGTACCAAAAAATCTGAGGACTTGGAGATGTCAGTCAAAAATAAAATTGGTTTCAGAAGCAGGGAAGCCATATGTTTACTAATTTTCACCCTGGATGAAAAATTTTTTGGGATATTTTTGGGGTCCAAACACACCTTATTTGTTATTTGATATCAATCCAAAGCAGATGGATGGGCTATCTCATGCAAGGATCGTGATTGAGAAAGGATTTCATCCTGGTTTGAGGTCATCTGGTAACACCTCAGTCCTTTTTGAAGTGACAGATGAGGTCAGAAGTGAGAATGATTTTATTCCATGTTGAGACTGTGACACTGAGGGAAGGATAACGTAGTGCTACCTTTCCAAAGAAATGATTAGTAAAAGTGTGATCTACGGACGTCCAGGTGCCAGGGGTGCATCTATTTAATTCCTATACTAAAAATGTATAAAAGATCGCCAGGCTATTATTTGGCAACATGTTTCTGATGTTGCTATCAAATCATTGTGGATTGCAGTCATTTACCATCCATCTATTCGCTTCCCAGCGCCACTTCCGAATAAAAGTGGCATCTGATTTTGACTTTCAAAAGAAGCGATGGATCCTCCCAGAGGTCATTATCCTGCCTGCATGAAAGCAGGACCCCATAGATGGCGTACTGCAGCTTATTGAGCTTTTCAAGGGTACGGGACAGCATGGTCAGATGATCACAGACCGCACTCCTAAACAGCCTATTTATATGAGGCTAATTAAACCACAAAGCTCTGAAGCAGACAGCAACTTCATTTCTTTTCTCGGTGTGTACCCACATGTTAAGGGTTAGAGCAGCTGTGTTAGGATTCACCCCCATTAATGTTCTACCACCTCGTGTTAGAAATCCCCACATGATACTGTTCCCTCTTGTTCATGGGCAGATGCAAGTTTTTGAGTCATTCTTTTTCTATTTTTAAAGTGTAAATTTGACAGGAAGCAACTGTCATACAAACTGTTTGCCAACATGCTCAAAGAAACTCAATTACAGTGGGACTTGTTACTTGTTGATTCATGACAGTCAATATTGCAGCATTTCCATAGCCTAAAAATACATCAGTGTAAACTCGATGTTCGCTTTACTTTTGTAACTATTGACTTCAAAAATCCATTGAATCTAACTAGCAGAGCCATGTTTAGCTCACAGAATGCTGTGAATCCAATGGGCCTCTTTAATAAAAAACTAATAATTCTACTGTCTTGCTGATCAGAAAGCTAGTTCTCTTAGAGCCGCATTCATGACTCTGAGAACTGAGAAAGTGACAGTGTAATTCTGCAGTACTGGCAGCAGGACTTAAATGATTTACTAAAACCCAATAAATCTTAAAAGTCCTGGAAGGACTGATATCGACTGAGTGACTACTCCAAGATGACAGGCAGTAGTTTTTGAGGAATTTTGATTTTGATAACATGTTGGGCTCTTAATGTTAAATGTCAGTGGCCTTTAATCAGCTTTACTGCCATGAGATCACAAACTTGTGGTTCAACAATTTTATATCCGGCTATAATTCTAGAGGTCAGGCTGTGGATTAACCACAAACTTTATATGATACCTAAGCGTTAATATTTAATGTTTAGGATATGTGCAAGATACGTAAAAATAGTGTTGTAGTCAATGCCTTATGTTTTTCTTGTAATTGTTCTTTTTGAGGACATTCAATTTTCTGCATTTTTAATTGAATTAACTAGAATTATTATTTTTTTACTTATTTGTTTGTTTGTCTACTTATAATCTTTCTATGTGGCTAAATTGTTTGTGAGAATTTTTGAGTGTACTTAGAGTTTAAATTAATTTAAAAGTTTAAAAATTAATCAATTTTATGTAAATTCTAGATTTATATAAAAAAGTGCTAAATTATGGCACCAAAATTGGCAATTTATGCAAATATTTATAACTGCTACTTTCCAAACCAATAAGTAAATTATATCTATTAATCTGTTAGTATACTTTAAAATATCTAATATTATAGAAAGAGGTACAAAAATGAACAGCATTTGTCTATGTAAAAATAAAATAAAAAATTAATTAATATCGTTTAGAAGATCAAATGCTTTTTATACATTTGTTTTGTCATTACTTAAATTGCTAAAAAATATTAAAAGTTTTTCCTTTCTCCACTAGATTTTATACTTTGTATTTTCAGCAAATGTTTCTTCATTCTATCTGTGAGCCTGAAGCAAAAATTAACAATTCTGATAAGCAACAACATTCTGAACTGTTTAGCGCTGCTATTGTTATAATAGATGCTGTTCAACATAAAAGCATGCTTTCCTGTTCCTGTTAACACCTAGACTCAAGCACAAAATAGATGCAAATGCTCTTACCATGAGTAGTGTAAAAATTGCACCATTTTATACTAAGAAATGCTGACAAGGATGTTCAATAATCTGAATTATAATGCAGAATGAGGTCAGTCTCCCATTGAGCGACTCCCATTTGTCAGTTCCTCAATGATCACAGTGCCCATAGTCCAGCATTTTTAAGGAGATCTCTAGGAAAAAATATAAAAGGGAGAAACAAAACCGATGAGAAAAACTAGAATAATTTCTGTGCTGATTAAGAGGCCTGTGCCTCGGTATGCAAATATAACTTTTCGAGTATGTACACGACTGAGAGGGTTGACATGCTGTGAGATGCACAATGCATTTTCAATTCTTTAAAGAAATTTCACATGGGCCTCACATTTAGCCAAAGTAAACTCATTTAAATTAATCTACACAAGTCGCGCTTAATGTCATATCCAATGATGTGTGTTGAGATATTTAGTATGACAATAAATGTAGCCTGATTTGGTTATATGTCTTTTCTTATTTAACCATAATCATGATATTGTAACTGTGGTGTGTTGCTCACTTTTCCATGAACAGTCGTGCATCAATCAAAACTAGGATTAATGAAATTCAATAATAACGGCAATCACATTTAACAGTAAAGGCTTGTATTTGAATGTTCTTTTCTTTATGAAGAATTATAAACGTGTGTTTGATGTGATTTAGCCAATGCACATTTGTTCAAAAGCCTGGCAGAGTGATCACAAGATGCTAGGCAAAAGTTTTGTGTTGTTTACAGAAAGGCTGCGCGTTCACATCTTTTTTTCTGTTAATTATCATGTTGCGCTGCATGTCTTTTTCTTCAAAGCACCAACTTAGAATGCCTAATGATGGTTTGATTGCTTGTGTTACATGATAAAATAAATAATCTTGCTTACCTGATGTAATAGATTTAATGCGAGTGCGGTTCGGGTCGCGACTCGCGGTCTTTATGTCAAACGGTTCTCGTCTGGTACAGAATTAAATTAGTGCTGCTGTCAGATAATGGGTCGGGTGTTCTGTTAAGTACTGCTGGTGCACGTTTACCAAACAGGACCCGTGCGGGCTTTAAACTGTATTTGGTTTTAGCCAGGTTTCAGTCAAGCAGAGTACATCAAAACTAATTTCTGTTGTTGTTCTTAAGGTAAAATATAACCTATAATCTTGTTGTTCTTAAGAAGGTAAAAAGCATTGAGTAAATATGGAGCTAGATATTGGAGCATTTGTTTCTAAACCTAGTATCCAGCAATTTAATGCATTTTGTAAGAAAGTGCAAAAAATTGCTGAAATTTTGAATATTTCTGTATCAAGTTCGGCAGCTAAGAAAGTAATTAAAGCTGAAGTGTATGCTAAACTTGTCGAGCAAGGTTTATTGTCTGCAGAAACTGATTTAGAGGGTGAAGAGGAAAAAAGTGATGGATTAGAGATGGGTGGAACAATTGCTTTTCCCTCATCTAAATCAGACCCTTTGCTTCTTTTTAAATTAAAAGAGCTAGAATTGCAGATTAAACGACAAGAGTATGAGAATCATAGATTACATTTGCGTGAAATTCTTCATGAAGAAAAAGACAAAGAAAGAGAGCATGCGCGAACTGCTGTTTCACCTGCTGTAACTTCTACGCATGTAAGTGTGCCTTAAACTGATCAGCCTGAAGATAATGTTATACATAGGCCTGCTGCTGTAATTCCATTTGATCCTAGTAAGCATATTAAGCTTGTACCACCGTTCCGTGAGTCAGAAGTTGACGCTTATTTTATTGCATTTGAGCGAATTGCAACTAAGCTTAATTGGCCAAGAGATATGTGGGCGTTAATGCTGCAGTGCATTCTACTAAGTAAGGCACAAGAAGTATGTTCTGCTTTACACATCGAAGAATCTCTTAATTATGACGTGGTAAAAGCTGCTGTTTTGAGGGTTTATGAACTTGTTCCTGAAGCATACAGACAGAAGTTTCGTAGTTACACCAAATCAACGAAGCAAACGTTTGTGGGTTTTGCACGTGATAAAAAAAAATGTTGTTAGAAAAATGGTGTGCTGCATCTAAAACAACTACGTTTGATCAGTTGCAAGAACTGTTTTTGTTAGAGGACTTCAAGAACTGTTTGTCAGATAACTTAGTAACTTATCTTAATGAGCAAAAAGTGAATTCCCTTTCAGCTGTGGCAGTGTTAGCAGATGAAGATATGCTTACTCATAAGACTGCCTTTTCTTCTGCTACAGGTCAGAATTATGGTACGTCAATGTTTTCGAATACTGAGAAACATTCAATGTTTTCTATGAAACCTGTGGCGTGCTCTGCAGAGCAGCGTAAGGAACAGGGTAAGAGCTCTGAGAGTAAAAGAGTTGGTTTTTATTGCTTAGACCCTGGTCATCTGATTGCTGACTGCAAAGCTTGGAAGAAGAAGAACATTGCTGTGAAACCTAAAAGTGTGGCCGATGTTGTTTGTGAACCGATGGTTAATGTTGAGAACTGGAGTTTTTCGGATGTCTCTGCCTTTACTCCTTTTGTATTCAAGGGTAAAGTAGCAATTTCTCCTGATTCTATAGTGAGATCCATCTCTATTTTGAGAGATACTGGAGCAACGCAGTCGTTCATCCTTGAAGGTGCGTTATCTTTGTCAAATGAAACTTATGTTTTCGTCCGTGGAATTGAGTTTCATACTGTTCATACTGTGTTCCTGACGTCTGATCTAGTTTCAGGTCCTGTAAAAGTGGGAGTACATCCAAGACTGCCCGTAGAAGGTGTGAGTTTAATTTTAGGAAACGACCTGGCTGGTGGTAAGGCGTTTCCTCACCCTATTGTGACAAACACTCCTGTTTGTGATGTGGAGCTTGTTAGTCAATTCCCGTCAACGTTCTCAGCGTGCGTAGTTACTCGTGCACAAGCACGTAAAAATTAGTATGTAATGGACCTGTCTGATACTTTTCTTGCTTCTGCAGATTCCCCCATTTAACTGACCCTATCTGTACATCCCGGTGTGGTTAAAACAGATAGTGAGAGAAAGTTTACTGGTCAAGAATCTTCTTTGACAATGGGAAGAAATCAACTTGGTAAAGCCCAGAAATCTGACGCTTCCCTGACACGCTGTCTTGAGGCAGCGAAGAAAGGGGAAGTAGAGGATGCAGATGAGGTGCAATATTTTTGGGATAGAAGTGTATTGATGCGTAAGTGGTTGTCTCAGAATGCTAAAGAATCTGGTTTAAGTCCAGACTACCAGATTGTTTTGCCTTCAGGTTATCGAACCACAGTTCTTAAACTTGCTCATGATCATTCATTATCTGGTCATTTGGGCATTAATAAAACGTTCAAGCGAGTGGCTAAGTGCTTTTATTGGCCTGGTTTAAGATCCGCTGTATCAAGATACTGTCGTTCATGTCATACTTGCCAACTCGCTGGCAAACCCAATCAAATCATTCAGCCAGCTCCTTTGCAGCCTATTCCGGTGATGGGAGAGTCATTTGAGTGTCTTATTCTAGACTGTGTTGGCCCTTTGGCAAAGTCAAAAGCTGGTTACCAGTATATTCTGACGTTATTGTGCGCGACAACATGTTTCCCTGAGGCAGTGCCATTACGTAATCTTAAAGCAAAAACGATTGTGAAAGAATTTATTAAATTTTGCTCAACATTTGGTCTACCTCGTGTGATTCAGATGGATCAAGGAATACATTTTAAATCTAAAGTGTTTGAACAAGTGTTGAATGGAATTTCTGTGAGTCACGTAGTGTCAAGCGCGTATCATCCGCAATCACAGGGAGTTCTCGAGCGATTTCACCAGACACTTAAATCGATAATGCAAGCTCACTGTGCTGAGTCTGGTAAGGACTGGGCTGATGATCTTCCTTTGCTCTTATTTGCGATAAGAGAAACCGTTCAAGAGTCATTAGGTTACAGTCCTGTGGAGCTCATTTTTGGTCTCACGGTTCGTGGCCCGTTGAAGTTATTAAGTGAAAAATTGGTTGCTGATAACGTTCCGCTTGTTCCTGTGTCCGAATATGTTACTTCTATTCGTGAACGCCTTCGCAAGGTATGTGAGAGAGCGAGAATGAATTTGGCAGAGTCTCAGGCTGATATAAAGGAGTATTATGACCGTAAATGTGTGGCTCGTTCATTTCAGCTGGGCGAGTCAGTGTTGGTGTTATTGGCTACGCCAGGTTCTGCTTTGAAACCAAAATTCTCAGGTCCTTATACAGTGACGAAGAAATTGTCTGACACAAATTATTTGATTTGCATGCCTGATCGTTGAAGAAAGTTGCGATTGGTTCATGTTAACATGATAAAGTCTTATGTGAAGGATGAGTCTGCGTCAGCTGCACTTACAGTTAAGTCAAGTGCCGTTGTTGCGTTTCTGCCTGTGGCAGTTGATGATGTTGCTGAACAGGAGTTCTCCGTGCCTTCTGGTCGATTGTCGAACTCTATAATATTGAATGATTTAGATGTTCATTTAAGTCATTTAACTCCGAATCAAAGCAAAGGTATCGTTGCGATAATTGAAGATTCATGTTCACTCTTTCGTGATATTCCGTCACAGACTACAGTACTTTAGCATGATATCGATACGCAGCCTATAAAGCAGCATCCTTATCAGCTTAATCCTAAGAAACGTGAGTTGATGAAAGCAGAGGTCGAGTACTTTTGCCAAAATAACTTTGCGAGTCCCAGTCAGAGTGTGTGAAGTTCGCCTTGCTTGTTAGTCCCCAAGTCTGATTCGTCAGTTTGTTTTTGCACAGACTATCGTAAAATCAATGCAGTTACTAAACCTGATTCTTTTCCACTTCCCCATATGGAAGACTGCATTGATCGAGTTGGTCCTGCAAAGTTTGTAACAAAATTAGATCTTCTAAAGGGATACTGGCAAGTACCCCTTACTCCGCGTGCCTCTGAGATTTTGGCTTTTGTGCTTTAAAGGGATAATACACCCCAAAATGAAAATTCTGTCATTAATTACGCACCCTCATGTCATTCCAAACCCGTAAGACCTCCGTTCATCTTCGGAACACAAATTAAGATATTTTTGATGAAATCGGAGAACACTCTGTCCCTGCATAGACAGCAACGCAACTGAAATGTTCCCAGACCCAGAAACGTAGTGTAGGGTATCAGAGCGAATCAGACATTTGAAGATTTGATCAGATTGGTGTTGAACAACCCAAAGAGCCGAATTCCACAGACAGGCCCAAGGCACCAGGATGTTCGTAAATCAGATCCTGGTGCCACGAGTCTGAAGCAAGCCTAACCAACCTACTCTTTCACAGAACAGCTTGCAACATTAACACAAAAGAACAACAGGAGATTGTCAAATTTGGGGCAAGTAACCAAGAATAATGGTCAAAGACACAGCATATCATGACCATCTCATGAGGAAAATCATTAGTAGAAACTGCGTTGGGTGGTTTCCCCCACCTAGAAGACAAAGACCAGACTGAGATTCCTTATGAGACCTTACAACCTCTGATCTTCACAGAACATGTCCTTATGTCTTGTGTTTTAAGCTAACAAGTTAATGTCTTAACTGCCGATCTTGTTACTGTGCTAATAAATAGTGTTTTCACTATATTTTGGATATTAATATCCATGCAGAATTGATGTTATACGGCTCGTTCAATGAATCGCCTGCCGACTCAGTGATCAGCCGTAAAACAGTGATTCTGCTACTGTTGCTTTTAGGGAACAATTAATTTCTTAAAGTTTTTATTTCCGTTAGAATTATTTCCAGTTACCCCTTGTTTTCTTTTCAATCAAGCCTTTTCATGATCTCTCCATGTCTGCATCCATCTACAAATCCATCCATTCCACCCTATTTCTTCCTGTAGCTCTCTGTTTTTCAGTGGTGCTATTCTTTTCTGTGTGACACTTTGATTTCCGTTCCTTTATTGACCCTCCGCCCATCAGCGTGCTCCTACACACTGAACAAACACACACAAACACTCAGGCGCCATTTTAAGTGCTTCCCACAGGTCTCACAAATTTCATATCAGATCACAACGGTGGTGTACAACAGCAGCGAGTCCCCGGTGCATTGAGTGCAAAGAGAGTGCGACCTCAATATCCTCCTGAAATAGCAACACACATTTAATATGGTCAAGAACTTAGGCAGGTTGAATTCATATGAGAGCACTTTCACTTTGCTTATCGGTTTCTGTGTCAACTCAAACGCATACGTGTGTCGAATGTGTCGCTTTTGACCTATAACCTCACAATTCTTGTGGATAAGAGCTTGTATTTGTCTGTACGTCTTGTATCTCTCTCTGAAACTATTGGCACCTGCTTTGCTCGGGGCTCTGGATGGCAGCCATGTTGGATTAGGGTGCCGTTTTTAATTATCAGCTTCTCTCAATTTTTCTCACTCCATCCTTATCAGCTCTCTCTCACATCACTCTTCTTCTTCTTCTTCTTTTTCATTGTTATCTTCCACATTCCTTTGAATCAGTGTCTTTCAGCTCTCTCCTTTCATTAATGGGTGCTCCTTTTCCTACGTTTGCTTTTGACCCTGCGAACTTTAATTAAATAAACTTAATTTTCACATTCTTAAAAGTCTAAAAACAATGTCCACCAATATACAGTTTGTACAGTATTTTTAAAAGCTTGTGATCAGTGAGATTTTTTAAATGTGCTCTTTTTTATATATAAATCTCATGTTCACCAAGGCTGCATTTATTTGATCAAAAATTCAGTAAAAACAGAGATGAGATAATCTAAGATATTATTTCAATTTAAAATAACTGTTTTCTAGTTATTTATATTTATACAGGAATGTATTCCTGTGATTACAAAATAAAAATTTCAGCAGCCAGCGTCTTTATTTATTTATTTATTTTGCAGTGTAAAAGTATTTGTCACTTATGGACAATTGAATGCCTCTTTGCTAAATAAAATAAATAATTTAATTAAAAAATTAAATAATGAAATCTTCTTAACCTCAAAATGTCCAATGGTATGGTACCAGCAGAGAATTAAATTCAAATGTTGTATTTTTTTAATATTTTTTTCTTGTTTTTAATTAATCTCAAACTATATATACAGTAGTTAACAATTCAAGTCGATCTAAAAAGTTTGTCAAAGTTGTCCTAAGACAAGAACGCGTTTTAGGTTTTAGGACAACTTTGATAATAGGTTTTGATCCACCTCAAATGTTGATTACTGTAGTTTTTTTTTTTTTCCAAAACAGCAGCAACAAAAAATGACAAAATTATTTTTTTTATTTACTTGTTTATTTGTTTGTTTGTTTGTCATCAATTTAATTCCTCTTTGTTAAATATAATAAATAATTTATTTTAAAAAAAAATGAAATAAAGAAATTTTCTTAACCCCAACATTTTCAATGGTATGGTACCAGCAGTATTAAATTCAAATTTTGTATTCTTCTTCTTCTTCTTTCATACTGTAGTTATGATGTTGTTTTCCAAATGCACAC